TTCCATTCCTCTTCCGGTTCCCTTCTTCGTTTCGAAGTGTTTGTCAATGATTTGCAAAAGAGGAGAAAAGAGAAGGCGGAGGAGGAGGGGAGGGAAATCCTTGTGGTACGTGTACTTTGACACTCGATCCGTTTAAATAAATCGCTTTTTGAAAACAAAAATTTAAATTCAATTTTTTTTTCCGGGGGGGAAAAGGGAGGGGAGTGGAGGGGAGCATAAAAGTCGTGATGAAGCAAAATGAAAGAAATTTTTTGAAAGGAAAAGAATGTGAAAGTACAAACATGTGTGATGATCATTTGAAGGTTAACGTACTTAAATAAATTAGCAAGATCATCGCGGTTGTTGTTGTTGTTTGTTGTTTGTTGTTGTTGTTGTTTGTTGTTTGTTGTTGTTATTGCTACTTCCTCTCACGGCAGGTTTCCTCCTCCTTCTTTTTTTATCATTTCACGTTTATTATTATTAATATTGCCCTTCTTTGATTTTCGTTCTAATTTTATTTATATCAATCAATTCATTCACGCGGGGGGGGGGTGTGTGTGTGTGTGTGTGGGCATTCATCATCTGTATTTTACCACCTGGCTTTTCACGTGTTTTAAATTCGCAGGTTGTATTGTTTTCGGTACTGTGTGTGTGTGTGTGTGTGTGTGTGCTAGTTCAAAGGTCGTTTCGAACCAGAATCACGTTTTTCTTTTTGTTTTGCTTCTTTGTTTACGTCATTTTCAATTTTGTAATGTTTTTTTTTTTTTTTTTTTTTTTTTTAAACGTAAACATTGATTATTATTATTATTATTATTAACGTAGTTTCTTTTGGATTAGGTATGCTATCGTTAAAAACGATGTTTTGAAGGCATTTTTCGTTGTTTTCCCGTGTTGTTTCACAAACGTTTGATTTTAGATAACCGTTAAAGTTGTACAAAATTTTACCATTAAAAGGCGTGCAGTACCGTAACGAAATTTTAATCTTTTTTAACTTTGCGTCTTCATCGAAAAATGTCTTGTCTCCAGGCGAAAAAAATCACGTGCGAAATTTAAAAAAAAAAAAAAAAAAAAAAATTTATGATATTGTCATGATCCCGTACTCGATGTTTACAGTTTTTTTTTCAATTATTTATAAAACAAAAGACTAACGATGAAGTCAAATTGTCCTCGTCTAAAAGCGAAGCTTCTAGAAACTCTTTCTTTTGTTTTACTTGCATGTATCGCTCGTTTT